ACACACCAGGCAACACGGACATGTGTCTTTACACACACCAGGCAACACGGACATTTTCTCACACACACACCAGGGAACACGGGCATTGTCTACAAAACACCAGGCAACACGGACAGGGCTCACACCACAAGGCAACACGGACATGTCTCACACACAACAGGCAACACGGACATGTGTCTCACACAACACCCGCAACACGGGCATGTCCCACACACACAGGCAACAGGGCATGGTCTCACAACACAGGCAACACGGACATGCCACACACCCCCGCAACCGGACCATGTCTCTACACACACAGGGAACACGGGCATGTTCTCACACACACCAGCAACACGGACATGTCTCACACACACCAGGCAACACGGACATGTCTCACAACACACCAGGCAACACGGACATGTGTCTCACACACACCAGGCAAAACGGACATGTCCACACACACACCAGGCAACACGGACTGTCTCCCCAAAACACCAGGCAACACGGGCATGTGTTCCCCACACACACCAAAGCAACACGGACATGTGTCTCACACACACAGGCAACACGGACATGTTCTCACCACACACCAGGCAACACGGACATGTCTCACACACACCACCAGGCAACACGGACAGTCTCCCCACACACCAGGCAACACGGGCATTTTCTCACACCACCGGCAACACGGACAATGTCTCACACACACAGGCAACACGGACATGTCTCACACACACCAGCAACACGGACATGTCTCACACACACCAGGGCAACACGGACAGGTCTCACCACACCAGGCAACACGGGGCATGTCCTCAAAAACAAAACATCAGGCAACACGGACAAAGTCTCCCCACACACACCGGCAACACGACAAGTGTCTCAACACACACCAGGCAACACGGACATTTTCTCACACACACCAGGCAACACGGACATTGTCTCACACACACCAGGCAACACGACAATGTGTCCTCCACACACACCAGGCAACACGGACAGGTTTTCACACAACACCAGCAACCCCGACATGTCTCACACACACCAGGCAACCACGGACCTGTCTCACACACACCACCCGGCAACACGGACATGGTCTCACACACACCAGCAACACGACCTGTTCTCACACACACCATCAACACGGACATGTTTTCACACACAACCAGGCAACACGGACAAGTCCACACACCACCAGCAACACTCCCTGGTTTTCACCACACCCCGGGAAACGACCTCACACACCCAGGCAAACCCCATGTCTCCACACACCAGCAACACGGACATGTCTCACACACACCAGGGAAAACGGACATGCCTCACACACACCCAGCAACACGACATTTTCCACAAACGACCATGCAAAGACAACAAACAATGAAATACTGAACAGACACCCCAGTACCAGAGATTATTAATATAATAACAAAAGTTGATAATGAATTATAATCCAGTGAAAATGTTAGACCCAGTGAATACAAATTAATGTTAACTTGTATATAAAATTTTTAAAACCAAGTTGTCCTGATGCAGTGACCTATCCAAGTAACGATACACTCACCTGTCCACCACACACCCTCTACGCACCACACTAAACCCACTCTCACCTTACCACCAACTACCACCACAAATACCCCCCAACCTCTACCACCACACTACCCACACCACTCACCCTCCCCCACACCAACACTACAACACCCACCACCACCTCACTCCACCAACTCTCACCCTTTCACCATCAAACAATTCCCCTTAATATTTACCACTAATAATTAAATTAACTCCAGAATTAATTAAAATATTTAAAATTATAGAAAATATAAAATACAAATTTACCTTCCTAATATCAATACGATACACCATACCACCACAATCCACTTTAACCCCCTCACATCCACCACTATCACTTACCACCATCAATACACCACTACTCACCTCTAAACATCACTACCACCATACTCACCTCACCACCAACACTACCACACCACTTATCGCTCCTACCACCATCAACTACACCACTACTTCACCTCACCACCACAACTACCAACCCACTACTCACCTACTACCACATCACTGACCACCACTACTCAAACCCCTACCCCATCACTCACCACCACCTACTCACCCTCTTAAACCCCCCATCACTACCAACCACTACTCACCTCTAACCACCATCACTACCACCACACTCAACCTACCCACATCCACTACCACCATCACTACCACCACTACTCACACCCCTACCACCACATACCACCACTCCCCTCACCAAACCCTCACTAAACCCCCACCAACACCCCACCACCACACTACCTACCACATACCCACCACCATCACTACCACCCACTACTTACTCCCCCCTACCCACCATCAAAAACCACCACTACTCACCTTACACCACCCCTACACCACTACCACTCCCACCTACCACCACACTCAACCACCACACTACCACCACTACTCACCTCTAACCACCATCCACACCACCACAATCACCTCTACCACCAAACACTACCCA